ACGAGGCGGATCAATCATGGACATCAACCCAACGAAGCGCATGCCTTCGATTGGGAAGTTTTGTTCGTCAACATCAAACTGAAAACCACTGCAAAGAAACGAGAGACACGATGAGTGGTCTGCACCAATCTTGAAAAAATTGGTGTCTTTCAGGCAGCTGGTTGAAAAGAATGTGGTAGGAGAACGAGCTACCAACGCTGTTACCGTGCTATAACCAATCACAACGAACACGTTCGCAACGTGTAAATGTACTTTTAAGAGGAACATTAACAATGTGCGATGTTGGAGTAAAAATAGGCACAAACCTGCGGTACTTATAATTTTCAGCACGTTCAGTCCTTAACTTCTGACTTATTTAAGGAAATCTACGCTTAAATTAGACCTGCACTGTGTCATGGTATTTGACCGAGGATCCACTCACCGAGGAAACTTATCCGCTGGCAAACGAAGGTCGCAGAAGCCAAGCACACGTTCACCAATGCCACCCAGTTCCAGGTAGGCGTTGTTGAAGTTCTCTCTCCACTCGTCGTCCATGTGCAACTCCTGCCCGTCAATCAGGATTGTCGAACAACGATCTAGGATGCGTTCTGGGGCACCCTTCATCACAACTAGGTATCGGTCGTCGCCGTCGTTCGTCTCGTGAACACTAACCTGGTACTTGTTGGTTGAGTTGAAGGGGATCTCCGCTACCTTTGGGTTTTCAGAACGGTACTTCGTCACACCACCAATCGACAATTCCACACACTTTAGCAGAGCCGACTCAGACGCATCACCGTTGCACTCACGCTTCAGCACGGGTTTCGACTCCTCACCAGCTTTGAATTCGGCGCGGTTACACAGCATGGCCACACGCGAGAGAGCCATCCACGTACTCGAGTCCCGGTTGTAGGTTGCGCCTTTAAAACGACTTGCATTTAACTTTCAACTTTCAGAAATTACGCATTGTGTGTTTAAGGTAGTGCTTAATTGGCAGTGTGAGTTGTGGGAAAGTGGAACAAATTTAGTCCCTTAAAACGGTTTGATCGTTACAAAATAAGGCAAAGGTCATTAGTCGTGAGAGGATGCTCAGGCAAGACAATTAACAATCACTTGGATCAATGTACACGAAAATTTGTTAGAATCGGAGGGTTACACACACAGAAGCGCCATTAGCAACCACTTCAGCTGGATTGTTTTAGTTAGGCAGTGCAAAACTAACCAAGGCACCCAAAAAAGTACTCACCCACTGAAATGCAAATAAATCGTACATTAATAATGCCAGAGAAAAAACCTACCACCACCATTTCTTTTAAATT